AGTGAGGAAAACTATAAATCTTCTCTATTTGCAAATTTATGAAGATATACAAAAATATCCCCTTACTAAAGAACTAAATTCATGGCAATAGGTGGTTCAATCGCTGCCTCATTTATGTTACTTAAATATAACGTTTTTTGTGTAAAAATAAGGCAAAATTAAGAGTTTTCCGACTAACTTTGCCTTATTTTTACACAAAAAACGTTATATTTCAGTTGTCTTTGGTCCGATCTTTTTGATATTGGTATCGTTTGATAGGGTATTGCAAATTCTAAAGAAAAGTATTGTTTACATTTTTTCATAGAATTAGCAGTTTTTGAGTTATTTAAGTTAGACAAACTCAAATGGCCGCCATTTTTAAATTTACAATCCGAACAACTTTAGTATTTTTTCTATTATAGGTCTTGTGTATGTTAACATGGTTAATAAATTTCATAATCATCGAACGAAAAACTTCACGGATAAAAATATTTTTGTATAAAAAACAAAATGGAGGATAACTGGGTAAATATGCATTTACGGACATACCTTCACGTAAACTTTTTTCTTCCTTTTAGTATGAGGATTCATTTCCCAGTCCTGAAACGTTTTTTATGGACACCCTGTATACTGTATACATACATGAAAATTTGAACCAATGGTGTTTTTGGCCTATAGGGACATCAAGTAAATCGGCCCCGGTTCCCGGGCCTAGGTCTTACCATGCCACCTACGGTAATAGCTACTTCCCTATAGGGAAATTCCCTAAAAACTAAGAATAATTTATTACTTTAATAATAACTTAATTTACCTAACTTCTAGAACTTAGCGCTCAAAGTTGAAGTTCCTGAGTTACGAGGTACCGTAAGTTCCAGTGAAATAACTACAGCATTTAAAAGCTCCGTAAATGTAACTTATTTTATATGTACTGTTAAAACGATTAAAACAGAGCTCAAAGAAGCCTTTGCAGCGAGCTCAGTGATTGAGGAGACTACATACAATTGAGGTGGTAGCATTCATTATACTATGATATTAGACTACTCTAACATTTTGAATTTTCTCAAACAATGTGACTACATTTGCAAAGTGGCACACACTCCCAATGTAATATGATCAAATTTATAAAAATATTTATCTCTCACTAAGCTAAAATAATTTTACTAAAACCCACACTTCATTACCTTCCTTGTCGCAGCAAACTCAAGTACTCACCTAATAAATAAATAGGGAATACGTATTACTTGTTAAGGGAATATTTTGGTAAAATCCAATCAGGCATATAGAAATTCGCTCAGTCTGCAGGTTTGCTGAGGTGTGGTATTTAGTTTTTTATTGGCCGGTTGGACCTACTGTTACCCTAGTAGTCTCGCTATATTGTAATCTTAAAAACATTGTCGTATGTTACTGTTCTATTAATAATTAATATAACAAAACACATGTTCATGCTAGAGTTAGTTTATAGAATATATTTTTACTTTAATTAATTAGGAATGTGTTACTCAACCAAATTTATTTTCCATCTTAAATACACGTAATAACGATAAATGTCATTAATTCTTTTTAGGAGTGATTTAATCTAATAAATATATTCCTTTGGTAACCATTGACTGTATCCCATTGGTTAGCTTGGTCATAAATCCAAGCAAACCAAATTGAACGTAAATGTATCATTCCAAAATAAAACTGTAACTAAATAGGCCTAGTTGTTTAACTGTTTGTTATCTGTAATCATGTCGTCTGGTTATAAAGGTTGGTACTGTATATTGATATCTATGCATCGCTGGTAGCATTAATTAATTACTTTACTGTCTATGTTTCGAGTCTTGTTATGAAGTCTGCGCATCAAGTGAATGCCTAATAGGTAAGTCTTGTTTTATTTAACCTAGTTGAGTATTCAATTTTGAATCAGCAATAGTGCAAATGAAAATTATTGGGAGGTTAAAAATCAATAAACTAGTTTACCTTGTGGTTGCCAGATTCTTGAAATGTGTAGATATCTTGCTCTTTTATATCTTGAGCATATCTTGAGCAAGATATCTACACATTTCAAGAATCTGGCAACCACAAGGTAAACTAGTTTATTAATAATTCGTTCTTGAAGCTGGAATAATACACAAGTTAAAAATCAATTTTAATTCAATCAGAGTAGTAAATTCAGAAAACAACAACCTAATAATTTTAATAATAAACTTTTGTTCCATTCTCCGTTCTATGCTCACTATTTAACAGCTGTTCAGTAATTATCCTATTAATTAACATATTTAATAATTCCACTTATAAATTACAAGTAATATGTTACTAATTTTTATAGTACTTCATTGTCCTCACAATAGGAATTACTTCACTTCAGATAAGACAAACTACGCTTTATCTACAACTAACTCGTTCTACATTTCTACAATAATCTATCCAAATATCTATACTCATTTAAAAAATGAATAACTGTTCGAATCACCTTCTCTTTAATTTTTAAGCTGAGAGTATTTAAACTCAAATAGTATTGATTTGGTTCTAAACTTCTTGATCAGCATTGTAGGCCTAAGTGTTATTAAATTTAAGAAGTTATTTATTTATTCGTATGAAGCAGTTATTTACATCCTTTTTACAATATGGATTAAGCTCTACAAATACTCCGCACGAATTGCTTAAAAAGAAAAAAAAAACTATAATAATAGTAAGTATAGAAGGGTACAACAAGTCTACAAAGTCCTAAAAAAGTGTATTTGATAATTTACCTACACTGCCTACGAGCGTTCTTATTTACCGTTCTGTGAGTAACAGTATAAGCGTAAATATATATTTAAGGGTTATAAGACGTTTCTTTTATTTACTTCCCGTGAATAAATTAATAAATAAAAATGCCTTTATCTTGAATGAATGAATGATTTATTCCGTCAAATTTGCTACTAAGTACAATGTTGACCTTTTTACTATAATATTAAGTTTAGGCCTACAACATAAAATAATCAAAAACTGAAAAAAATAACAAAGTTGTGAACTTAATGTTGAATTGATCAAATCGATCAAAGCAATCACTATCTAATCGATCAAGCGTTTCTCAGTACAACTGCTTTTCAGAACAATTTACATGTATATGTAGGATGTAAGGATGTAACATTAACTTATTGTTACTTAAGTAACAATAAGTAACAATAACTAACAAACAAATAATAGAAACAATAAAATACCCCCGCCGCAGCAAACCTGCAGACTAAGTGAATTTCATCATGTCTGATTACATATTTACTCAAATATTACCATAAATAAGACATATTTATTCCCAATTTAAATAACATTAGATTTAACGAGTGCTTAGGTTTGCTGCTACAGGGGAGATAAACAGTGTTTTTTTACCAAACGTCAATAGTATAGGATGAAATAAATAAATTTGCCAAATTTGATCAACATATATCCAAAAAAACAAGTAAACTACAACAGTTTTCATTTTCTCCATAAGACTAACATGGAAATTTTAAATTTTAATTTTTTTTTAATTTTCTCCGTAACCATTAGGCATACAACGATGCTTCAATATACTAAATTATTTATTTTTTCAAGCTCTACATAATGGTTGGCAAAGAAATTCAAAAATTTTACGTTTTTAGGGTCAAAAATGGGAAAAACCCATTTTTACCCCATAAAGACCCCCATTAACCCGCGTTCCCATGGTCCGATCATGCTGGTTCGCGAACTCGTTCGAATAAATACACGTTTATACAAAATTTCATCAAAATCGGATGATTTTTGTTCGAGTTATCTTGCTGACGGACACATATATATATGAATTTGAACGGATGGTGTTTTTGGTCTCTGGGGACCTCAAAACGAAAAAGTAAATCAGTCCCGGGTCCAGGTCTTACCATGAGACCTACGTTAATAGCTTATTCCCTATATAGGAAATTCACTAAAACAAAAACAAGTAAATCGAAATAACATTAGAGATAAACTAATCATATCATCAGTGTACAATTCTTTAATTTTTACTCTAAAAGATGACAAGGTTTTTTTTGAGGCCAGATGAGAAGTCATTGTATAGCTAGCTTTGGGCCGAAGTACGAGAAGCTTCTCCTTCCAAACTCAAGCCTCGCTCTTGGAAAGTGCTAAGCTGGAGACTTCCATGGTGGGTACTGTGCTGAAAAAAGAGCCTCTCAAGAAGGTAGGTACTATTTATGGCTCCGGTACGACATGGGGCCTTGTGCACCATGAAGCACGTAATGATCCTGCAAACAGTGTCTACTGTTGTCATCCCTGCTACAGCTCTGAATGAAGAGACATGTTCAACTTTTTTGAGCCCAAAAAATTAAATGAATGGAAGAATTTTCTGTTTTTGCATTCGGTGCATGGCTTCTCCAGAGATGCTGTTTCCATAAGCAGGGACACAATATGAAAACACTGACAGAACTAGTGACTGCATGAGGCGCAGCTTCGCAGACTCTGGCAGCAGATTTCTGTACAGCCCTCTCAGCCTTCCTAACGTGCACTGCGAAGCCATGTGTGACGTGGCACGGCCGTGGACGTGGTCAGAGAAGACGAGGCCTTAAAAATTGCAATAATTTAGGATTGCCCTAAAGACGTTACATCCTTAATATTTATATGTTAAACATTCGTTGGTAAACCGGAGGCTACATCCACTATATAATATATAATTAGATAACCAAACAGTAAAGCACAAAACATGAAATTGAATTGACCCTAAAAATATAGAAACAAAATTTCGTAGACACGAGCGATCAGTGTCACCAACAAGAACTAGACACGAAAAACGAGCGTTAAAATTTACAATAGAATGAGAAGTACAGTATACTTGTGTTGGTTAGTCTATGGCACTGTGCAACAAATTCACTATTAGGCATTGTGGGATTTTGCGGCCGTGATTGTGCACTATGCGGCCCCACAGAAACGGTGCTATTAATTGTTAACTCTATGCTCACTGTAGTTTTTTCTATGTTAGGCCCCCCCCCCCACTTGAGTCGAGTATGTTTATATCGCTTTGCTTGTGTTGTGTTTGTTGTGTTTAAATTCTTAATTCTTGTGTTTGTGAGTTGATCTGTTGATGTCAAAAATCTAAACAATCTTTCACAGATTACAGACAAAAGATTTATGATTTAAATTTAGGTTGGCGTTTATTTAAATGATACATAAAAAAACTTATCATGCCCACTGATAAGTAATGGTTTTTATCTAAGTGAGTAATAGCAATACTGTACTTAAATTCTTAATGGTTTATTATTGCATTGGCCTAGCCTTGCATGCACTGTCTTGTTTAGGCATACATCATGAAATACTTTACTTACAGTGTATGTATATAAGTTGATATGCATTTTTTGAAAAGGTAGTCATCTTTCCTTGATTTAATGATCGTACCAACTTAACTATGAATGAAATAACTTAGTAAAACCAGCCAGGAATCTGTCCAGAATCAATTTCCCATGTAAAGACAGCCCTTTTAGGGAATACAATTAACATAGCCTGCTTATAAGTTAGGCCTAGTTGTATGATGAGGTCAGTTCATATTCTTCATTGATAACTAAACACAATAATAAATCTTGTCATGCAACATGCAATAAAATACAAAGAAAAAACATTAAAAGCCAAGGTCTGCAAATCAAGCAGCTAATGCAAAAGGTGCGTAACTTCAGCTTATGCAAAGGAAGACATTTTAATGTAGGGCCTAGGTGAGTAACCACCATCCAATTTTTTCCCTAGGAGAGTCCCGAATGTTATGACTGAGTCGTGGATACTTCTGAATTTTATGTAAGAATATTACGATAGCCTAATTAGAGTAACTGGAAACACAGAGGATACGCGTCCGGTAACCAGACGTGGATTAGGCGTCCGGTAGTGACGTCATCGGGTTGTGGGGTCCCGGAACGCTATTACCACAACGATACGATGTCAGGCCAGCGTTGTTCGTGGTGTAGTGGATAGAGTGCTCGGCTGGTATCCAAGAGGTCCCTGGTTCGAAACCCATCAGTTTTTTATTACTTTTTGTCACAGATTTTGCTTTGAATGTAATTTCTTCCGAACTGTACATCTTTTGTTAGAATTTTTGGCATTTATAGGCTAATTTTATGTTATGAAGAGAATTGAACCTTCATTTGATTTTTTTCATTATCATCAAGTTTGGTTGGTTAGGTTAGGTTATGACAGTAACTGCCGGACGCCTATCCACGTCTGGTTACCGGACGCGTATCCTCTGCGAACTGGAAAATCTTTGTTTAACCTCATAGGAATAAGTTACCTTGAAATGGCTTTGGCTAACTGTAAACTTACAGGAACTTTTCTTACTGTATTGTAGGCCTAAATTGCTTTTATAACTATTTTTTCACAAGAACATAACTTAGTAGTACAAGAAGCATTTTTACCATTGGATATAACTATATTGGATATACGCCTAAATTGCTTTTATAACTATTTTTTCACAAGAACATAACTTAGTAGTACAAGAAGCATTTTTACCATTGGATATATTTAAAACACATTTATCATTGGATGTAGCCTACAAATCACCAGTTGGTTTAACACAAGGCAAATTAAAGAATTTAATTTAACTAAGTTTATGGTAATATAAAAGTGCCGGTATAAAGTGCTAGGCAATCTTCTTTGTATCACCCGGGCCTATCATTATTGTTTATCAAGTAGGCTAAGTTGAGTCAAAAAATCATTTTAAAATATAGGCAATTAATGAATTAACTGAGATTAAGTTAATGTTCAACCAAGATCGTTATCAAAAATCCAAACAAATATACTTTCTGCTGTTACGAGAGGTCTGTTTCACAGCGGATTGTCTTGTTTGTCATTTTGGGCTATTTTCAGTGAGCCTTATACTTTCTGGGACGATCACTGATCTTTTGATAGCCTATACCTAAGTTAAGTTATATGTTAAGCCTTCCTGAAAAAGTCTTAACATTAAGGCATTGAGTTAAGACTTTAAAAATAATTTCTTCTTCCAAAAATCACTTTAGGACTTCTATATTTTAGTTTTACTGTTATCCTGTTTAAACTTTCAACCCATCTTACAAGAAGTCTGTGAAGCAAGTTGGGTGGATTCTATGTTGTGAATGTTGTAATACAGTATCTAGTATGTCTTATTCTTACTTAGTTCATTTTATCAATGATTAGGCACCTATATAAACAACAAATTGCACATATAGGCATATTATTAACTTACTCTGTTTTGCCTTTTTGCTCTGTGACTGTTTGATATGTTTCAGAATGTTTAGTTTAGTTTTGATGAGTGACAATAGGCCTACGCCTAAGTTTAAGTAATGTAGGTGGTAGAATTAAATTTTATGTAAGTTTACCGGTAGGCTATAGATTAGATTTTTAATAACTTCCCATAGAGAGTACCCTATCCTTCCAACCCATGTAGGTGGATGTCCTTGATTTAGCTCAGCCAAATTATAGCAACACTATACATTACTGGTACTATATTGCCTCCTCCTTTGCTTGGAACCAGATTAGACTGGATAAGCTGTGTCAATTGTTAAGTTAATGATCTAGCCTATAACCTTTAATGATATATTTACACTAGCCTACAAGAGTTTCTAAAACATTTTACAAAAGGAATTATTAGTAGGCCTACCAGTAATGGCGGTGATTATTGGTACTCAAACAGGAACATTGTTGTCAAGAAACTCACGTACCTTGTTGTTCGGTTTTGCTCTCAGGAGACTACTAAGTCCCTCCAAGCTGTTTGATTTTGAATGTTTATGTTGAGTTTTTTTTCTGTCAAGGAGCTTGTTATAGTCCAAGGGCAATGTCCAGAAAAGTATCTTTGGGTCTTACTAATAAGAATAAGAAAGTTTATTGCCATTGACCAAGCTGTACATGGAATAAGCATTGTCAAATTACATTTTAAATTTTTTTTTTTTTTTTTTTTTTAAAAAGAGGTTGGCGGCCTCTTTTAACCTTGCATTTGCCCGTCCACATAGACTAAGCGCCCGTGCGTGGATCGTTTACAGCAAAGCAAGGAGTGAGCCGGTACAGTACAAAGGTGAACTGTACTGATAAAATGTTATCGGCAGTGACCAGGATCCGAACCCACGACATCGCTGCCTTGGGCCCGAAGTCCGCGACGCTACCGACTGAGCCACCGACTCACTAAAATAAATAAATAAATAAATAAAATATTATTGTATTACTAAACATGTTCATATCTATAGGAACCATAACAAAGATTGAGAATAACGATTGAGAATTCTTAATTTATAGTATGAAAGATTCCGCTTTAATTTAAATATCATGAAGTCCTTAACTGAGTAGAATGGGTTAGCTGCAAGCCAGTTATAAATTTTTGACTTAAAAAGAGGAAGATCCTATGTAAGGGGATGTAAATAATTGTGTTTGCCCCTAGCTTTGTTGCTGTATACTTTAACCCTTTAGGCCCGGTTCACACGAACGACATACCTAGCAGACTAAGCTCACTCGTGGCAGCTACCCAGTCGCCCAGTCGAGCTGCGTAGCAATACACGTAGCCTTATGGGAGCGTTCACACGAGCGTTCGGGTAGTCGCGCTGCAGCTCGCATTCTTACCTTTGTTCTCAATGTGCACCAGTGATGGATCCGAGTGGTTTTGATATCGATATTTACACCTAGTCTGTGGACATGTCGCTCGTGTGAACCGGTGTGATCCTGTGGTCCGCTACCCAGCCGTGCTTACCTAGTCCGCTAGGTATGTAGTTCTTGTGAACCGGGCCTAAAATGGTTTCCGGTTAGAATGAACTTTGTTCTCAGAGGAAAGGATGTAGCTGCTAAAGAGTTCAGACCTGTGCTTACAAAGAGTGGCCTACAGTCATCTACCGCCCGCTACAAGTGATGATTTTCTGTTGCTTAAGTACTTTTAGGTGCATAGCCCAATAGCTGTAGACCATAGGAAACATGGCTATCTTAAAAATACATAGTTCACCACAAGCAAGTAAGACTTGGGCACTAGTTTAAGTTAGTTCTCGCCTATTGAACAGAGAACTTGTTTTTGCTAACCTTTTGCACAAGTTTTCAATATGAACTCCCTAGGTCAGCTTGAGATCGAGAGTGAACCGAGCAAGAGCTTGCTGTTTAAACGTAGCCTTCTTAAATTAGGTAGGCCTACCTAAAAATTAATTTCTATTCTGCACATTCAACGTGCATATATGGCCTAGTGTTGAACAGCTTAAAACTGATTTTATACCAAAACTCCTGTTTTCTGGTTATATGGCCTAAGTATTATTTATTCATTTCAGTGTGAATCTTTGGAAACGTTTAGAGATGGATCCAACCTTACCACCTGACGAGCATGAAGCAGATCCTTCTTTTTTGATTATGGATGAAAGTGATGATGAAGAAACTATCGCTCAAGAAGAGTCATTGGAGCCGGAAATTGATCCTCAAGAAGAACTGCATATTTTAGCAAGTGTAAGCAAACTTTCTAAGTGGCCTTATAAAGTATTGAACGTCCTCGATTTCAGTTTTATTTATGTATCAAAAATCTGTATATGAGAAAAATATATAGCCTACAATACATAATATAAATAAAGAAGTTGGATTTAAAAGGTATAGGTCATGTTGTATTATAGTGTTATGTTCCATATCGTATTTATTCTTTGTCTTACTTTAGGTTAGGCTATGTGATTTGTTTTGATGGTAACACTGGTTTTGTATATTATTTGGTACATAGGCTACCTCCGTTTATGCCTGACATGCTGCTTTAATTATGATCCACAACTACTATGACTATGTTATGTTTTGTTCCGTAACTTTATCTTATTAAATCAAGTTTAAATTATGAATACCGTGAGTTATTTCAATACCTAAGTGGACATCTAACATGGCGCTGCAGGAAAACAATTAGAAAAGTGTGGAAAGACTGAACATTCATTTTGAACTCAAGTGTGTGTGAGGTGAAAGTGGGGTTAAGAATGTGACTAAGAATTAAAACTTGTTGTGTTATTAATTAACATTGCCTAACATTGGATTGTTTGTGTTATTAATTAACATTGCCTAACAATGGAATTCAAGCCTCCTGTCTCTTTGTCCCTGGTAAGTGGAAATCTAAACGAAATTTTCAAGAGATTTAAATAAAGTTTCTCGATATTTATGAAAGCTGCAGGACATAACTCCAAAGATTCAGAAACTAAATGTGCTATCCTACTTAATATCATTGGAGAAGAAGCCTTGGATTTGTTTAACACATTTGACTTGACTGAAGATGAAAATTAAGACTATGATGCTGTACTCAAGGGATTTGATGACTATGCTAGTACTAATGTTCACTAATGTAGTGATGGAAAGGTTTAAATTGAATATGAGAAATCAGCAACCTGGAGAACCATTCATAATTTTTTGACTAATTTAAAAAAGCTGATAAAGTCCTGTGAGTTTGGGGACCAGCAAGATGACCTCCTCAGAGACCGAATAATCCTGGGAACAGAAGATAAATCTCTTCAAGAACGGATGCTCAGGGAAGTCGACCTAAGCCTGGATAAGATCGTCAAGCTTTGCCGAGCAACAGAGATGGGAGAGAACAGGCCAAGGAGCTCCAAGGACAACACCCTGGTGTTGACACAGTAAGCACTTGTCCTGGATATACGGCACAACTCAACCAGATGAATTCAAGTAGGCCTAAGACTAGTAGTTCTTTTAACCATAAGTCATCAGAGGGAGCTACCTATAGACATAATGATACTGATAATAATAGTCTTAAGCCTTCATATAATAACGATTGTAAAACGGATGTCTACTCTTGCAAAAACTGTGGTAAGATGCACGGTAAAAGAAACTGTCCAGCATATGGTAGAAGATGTAATATATGTAACAAAGAATAGATATGATATGGAATATAACACTATAATACAACATATAATGTATGCTGTTAAGTGTTACCTATTGAACGTATGTGTAACGTCTAACCTGTTGAGTTCTGAATTTAAAATAAAAACTTAATGCGGTGGCAGTCAAAAATAAACTAACTCTTAACATAAACACATTTTATGTTTGTGTGAGTGTGTGTATTTGTGTGTTTGATTCTGGTTGTAAATTTCTTGATTATTCGTGCAAATAATATTTTCCTACAGTTACGTAACAATGTACATGTTCTCTCACTGATTTGAGAAAGCAAAGCGGCCAATTCGCTCATCAGTGAGACAATGTTAACATTGTCTCACTCCAGATTTGCAACGTGAAGGCACGAAATAGTGAGCGCGTAACATGCAGCCAACGTCGTATACGCGAGAAATACGTTGGCAGCACTGGCTGTAAATCAGCTGGTCAGCTATTGTACTGTTGTATTTGTCACTTCACATTAAATGTTATATTAAAAGTTCACTTCTGTGTAAAAATAGGTTATGTTTTTTTCACCAATTTATTTGTTCTATGGTAACTGTAGGAAAAGTATAATGTGCAACTCGAGTTCAAAGTACAATTGCTCACTTTTCTCACTAGTTGCACAAATAACTATTTAAAATGAATTCTATCAGTCAAGTAAACTTTTAGACTACCTTAATGGTTCAAGAAAATCTTTTCAAGCCTTTTCATGTTTGAACTGTTTACATTCCTTTACTATAAAAAGATAACTCCTATGTGTATTTTTAAAGTACTTATGCTTGTTTTAAATTGTATTTATCACTTAAGTGCAATATTTTGCTCTTACAGATATTTTGACCACTTACCTGTGTTGTGTTTCAGGATTTAAATGTGACCCTTGAAGAGCTTACAGCTCAATCTGATTCAACTCGTTCAAGACGCGCCCGTAAAAAGGTTAATTACCAGGTAATGAAGTAGTGTAAGCTTTATTTGCATTAATATTTTCTATGGATGACATGTTTTAGCATTATTTTATTTAAATGGTATATCATATATCGACTTTTATTTCGAAGAGACCTTTTTCTTTTATAATCTCACTAAAGTATCGTCACTGAAATTTGTTTGTTTTTGAGACAATTACCATCAGCAAATAGTTTATGTCCATTAAAGTGTGTTTTTATATTAAAATATTAATAGCTTAGGTTAAAATAGATAAATTTACCAAGTTTTATCAAAATATATCTATAAATGAGCCAACTATAACAGTTTACTTATTCTCTATAAGAATAACATGGGAGTTATAAATTTAGAACTATGAAAAAAATCCGTAACCAATAACCATACAAAAACACTTCAATTATACTCAATTATTTGTTTTTTTAGGTATTCAAACCCAAATATTACCCCATAAATCCCCCCATGAAACCCCGTTCCCATGGTCCGATCATGCTGGTTTACAAACTCATTTGAGTAAACACGTTAAACAGGATTACACGTTTGTACCAAATTTAATCAAAATTGGATAGTTTTTTATGAGTTATGGTGCTAATGTCCGTTATAAAGTACACGTCTACATTCATTAACGCTGTTAAGGTGTTATGTCATATAGAAGTATAACAAATCTTTTGATTGATATCATAAGAAGACAAAAGATGCAAAAGAGATTGGCATTCTATCAGGAAAATTACTGTGGAGAAGTTGAGAATAATTTCAAATTTAGGGCTGTCACCAAAGAGCAAGTAATAGAAACTATGAATAAAATACGTTCAAAGGCATCTGGTATCGATGGCATATCAATTGATATGTTAAAAGGTGTTAGCCCTTATTGTGTCTCAGCAATAACTCATCTGATTAATGTGTCACTAGAGACTGGAGTTTTCCCTGATAGTTGGAAGCAAAGCATTGTGATTCCGCTCCCAAAGTGCTCTAATCCAACTACGAGCAGCCACTTCCGCCCAATATCAATTCTGCCTGTTCGTTCGAAAATCTTAGAGAAAATTGTTGTGGAACAGTTGGTAAGTTACCTGGAGGAGTCGGACATACTTTTAGAATCACAGTCAGGTTTCCGTAGAGGGTTCAGCACCTGCACTGCTCTTCTCAATATGACTGATGAGCTTCTTCAGGCCAAGGACCAAGGGTTGCACAGCTTTATGGCGTCACTTGATTATTCAAATGCTTTCGACTCTGTTCATCACGACATGCTCATATCAAAGCTCAGGTTTCTAAAATTCCATGAGTGTACACTCAAATGGTTTTCCTCATATCTTTGCAACCGATCCCAGGTGACTAAGGTGAATGGTAGGTGCTCCGAGTTGATTCAAAGAGAAGTAGGGGTCCCTCAGGGGACTTGTCTGGGTCCAATACTTTTCATATTGTACACCCATGACCTCGATAGCGTTCTGAAATCTTCCACTTTACATTCCTACGCTGATGATTGTCAACTAGTTCTTTCCCACGCCCCTTTTGATTTTCATGAAGCAGTCAATCTCATCAACACTGACTTGCTAAGGGTAAAGCAATGGTCTGACGATCACGGTCTAAAATTGAATCCTGAAAAGTGTACTGTGCTTCATTTCTGGTCTTCTGGTTTGCAGCCTAAAAATAGTCTTATTGGAAAGGTAGAGCTGGACGGTCAAATTCTTGTGGTGTCTGATTCTGTTAAGGTGTTAGGTATCAGAATTGATTCTCAACTCAATTTTCGCTCACATGTTAGTTACATTTGTCAGAGAGTCTCAAATAGGTTGAGAATTTTACACCGTTTGAGAGGGATACTATCTGAAAATGCTAAGCTAGAATTGGTCAAATCAACAGTCTTCCCTATTATTCACTATGCACTTCCATCGTTTGGTGAATGTCTTACTCTTGACTGTAGAGTTCTTCTTACGAGGTTGCAAAACCGAGCCCTGAGGTTTGTCTTCAATCTGAGGAAGTTTGATCATATATCTGCCTATCGCAAACAGGCTAAGGTACTCTCTTTGGAAAAACAATGTTTTCTACAAACTGTTTTAATTGTTCACAAGACACTGTCTTCTAATTTGCCTCCCTATTTGAAAAGGAAACTTATGCCTCGAACATCAGTTAGGGAACGCTGTACTAGGCAGGACGGCTTGCTTGAAATGCCGAGAGTGCGGCGTGAGATAGGTAAAAAGGGGTTCTCATACTTTGGACCCCAGGCATACAACACCCTCCCAAGAAACATGAAAATCATGTCATGTAATTCATTTAAGGCCAATCTAAAGCTAGTTTAGTTCCACTGTTTGTAATTATTGTGTACTTGTAAACTTTTTGTGACTTTGAGTTGTCTTGAAAACCAGTGTATCTGAAGACCGCTTTAAATAAAGGCATTTTATTATTATTATTATTATTATTATAAGAGACTCGTCTGATGGATTACCACCAGCCAACATCTGTACAAAAGCGTTGTTAACATATTATGGGAAGGGCATCCATACTTTCTAAGCTCTTTTTGGCAAATTTTACATATAGGGAAAAAGCTTTTTCCACAGGTCTCATGGTAAGACCTGGACACAGGATCAATTTACTTTTCATTCATGTTGAAGCCTTCCGGAATTGGTAATCAATTATAACGGTTACGTTCCTTGACGTTCACAATTCCTCAGTCGAGCTTCTGTTTGACCAGTTTCGACTACTAAGTAGTAATTTTAAAACAGAACGTAAAAATATTCCATTCATTGAATGTCGTCAAATCTTCTTAATTACATTGAACACACATACAAAACATGAACACGGTAGACGTTTAACATATTTGGCCGGCTGGCACACGTCACTGAGCAGTTCAGTGGAATGGAATATTTTAACGTTCTGTTTTAAAATGACTACTTAGTAGTCGAAGCTTACGGGATTTAGACCTTCAGCAACACTCCCTTATTCCCTATATGGTAAATTAGCTGATCATCTTTGTAATGATACTACTTTGTTACGTGCATAATTTATTTTTTGTTTCAAGTTGTTTGATGAATTTTTATACGTTTTATGAGCCTTTTTACCATTTTTACATAATTTTTTAAGGTTATCGGCTCTTTGTGTGCAGGTTTTATTTGTATTTTGAGAATATTTATGATAATTGGGTCAAAACTTTTCTTATGGAGATTTAACATGGGGCTAGTTCTATACAGGGTGACTGGTCATCAGTGTGACAAAATTTTTTTGGCTTAAGTACAAAGAAAATGCAGTGTAATGATGCATATAAAAGGTTCCAAGTCCAAAAATTAGCTTCTCAAAGAATTATTTTATGTTTTTCAAAAATAACTATGTTTTCAAACTTAGTACAGCTATTTCGCAATTACCTGTAAATGGACTTGGAACCTCTTATATGCATCATTACACTGCATTTACTTTGTACTTACGGCAAAAAAATTTTGTCACACTGATGACCAGCCATCCTGTATATTAATAGACAAGCATGTTTATTGTGCATCACAGGGGAAATCTATGCATACTGCTGGAAAGGTATTTGCCCGTAGATGTGCAAAATCCCTTAACAAATTAAAATAGGCAAAAAATTAATTTAAAATTTAAAAATATTAACATGGGCCTTATGGGTTGCCATGCTTTTTTTTGTTTGTTTTTTTGTCCTAGGACGCTAGGCACAAGTCCGGGATTGTTTTTCACCTTACTTCAGGCTAGACCTAGGGGCTGCGGCATTGACTTGGCGGGATTTGAACCCGGGACCTCAGGGACTGAAGTCCCGCACTCTAACCACTACACCAGCTCGCTCCCCAGCTAGCTTCGCATGGGTTGCCATGTTGGTGACGAAATATCAACAAAAAATAAACATAAAATTTAAAAAATGGAAGAAATTCCAATTAAATGTTTTATTTACAGTGTGGGGTGAAAATAAAGAAGTTTGCACAATACATACTTTTGGTCAAGTTTTCGACCATGGGGCGAGTTCTAGTTAGTTTAAAAAAATAATAATAAAAATAAAACAGCTAATTATATACAACCGGCATGATGTCACCTTAAACCTGCCTCCTACCAGCTTTGAGTTCGAAACCAGACGCCATTGTTCTTTTGGGTTCGGACCATCTCATTTGAGCATGGACTTGACTCAAACTTGGATTAATGATCGAAAACCAGGACTATCTGTAATTGGACTCGTGAATCCAACTTTTAAAACCAGGTTTTATCCCTGCACTAATTGTGTGGAGCCTATCAGTTTGGTCTGCGTCTTATAAAGTCTCGAGCTCGTGAACCTGACATGTATGTACTATGTACTAATGTATATAAATGCTTTCTATTTAGGCTTTACTGCTGAAGGAACAAATGAAAAAACTGCAAACTTTAGAAGCGGAACAAAAGGAATCCACATCCAATGCAGAACAACAACAAGCTGGATCATCTAGGGAAACTTCATCCAAACCCCCAACTGACCCCTCCACTGAAGACTCAGAAGAACTTAGTGTATCAGAACTAACCAAGTTCTACATGACCAACTCACTGAGCAGTAAGAACTTTTCACTTCAAAATGATGCCCAACCACTAATAATTTCACAATTAACTGTGAATCTTTTTTAACACTATTTGATTATTGCAGTAAATTGGTTATATACTTACATGGAATCAATATAGCCTACTTGTAATTCTAAATAAACCAATGAACATGAAATATGACCTCCGACACATCTTGTGAGAAAATCTTAATAAATCACAATCAATAAATTATGGTAAATAATCAAAAGGTTCCAACTCATTTCGACTATATTTTTATACATTATGATAATTTGTTTTAGATGAAGATGAAGACGCAGATGCTGATTTCAAACCACTGTTAAGACCCAAATTTAACCGAGTAAGTATAATTGATTTGATATTTAAGGTATTTTACATCAGTATTAAATGGCATTATGCAAATTGCAAGGATAAAAATTGCTTAATTTATATTCCAAAATTATTTAAACACAGTCTTGTTATCCAAACGGGCTCATCTGAACCCTGCTCTGAACCACTAGTTGGTGAGGAAGGTTACTGTATTTAAATAAAAATACCCGAGCCGCAGCAAGCCTACAGACCAAGTGAATTTCCATTTGTCTGATTAGAATTTATCTAAAACTTATCCTTAAACGTGTCAGATTTATTCCCTAGTAAAAATAACATTAGTTTTAAGGTTTGCTGCCACAAGAAAGGGAAAAAGTGTTTTTTGTGAAAAAATTATAATATGGTATGATATAAACAAATTAGCTAGATTTTATCAAAATATAGGCCTAGCCAAATGTCATCAAAATCGGACCAAAATTACTTGAGCTGTGGTGTTGGACACACTTACACACACACACACGTTTTTTGTCTCTGGGGGGGAGGGGGTTTACGGAACCTCAAAACGTAAAAGTAAATCGGTTCCGGGCCTAGGTCTTACTGCACCACCTAACAGTAATATAGCTTATTCCATTTATGGGCAATTTGCTGAAAGAAGCTTTGTGTTCTGAAATATTATCAAGGGTTTTCAGCCAATTGGGAAAACAGGTGCTGCTCTGTAAGTACACAACAAATAATAAACAATATGGAAGTCCTATTAAATTGCTAACCGTGTGTAGAAAACAACTGATAACTCGGTTGTTTGTCATCCGATTTTAACAAACAAGGTCTCATTTGATTTGGATTTAAATTCTCTATCTTTTTGATCCGAAAAATAATTTTTTAATATTAACGGTTTTCATGAAATTTGGCATTAAAGATTTTAAACCGCCGCCATATGAAACTGCTCGAGATATTGGAACAAAACTTACTAAGCTCTTTTTACCTACTAAAATACACATTTTGAAATTTGTATCTTGAAAAATTCCCAAGATATAAAATAATTCTTAAAAATCAGGCCGACTTAAACAGAAATCTAGTCATTTTAGACCCTTACTTATATGCAGGGGTGCCCAGAGGGGGGGTACTGACTGTGGCACGTTTGCGCTACAGGAATTCTTGGGGAGAGGGATTTTTATGGGGCATTTTGGGGGGGATATTAATTTTGCTAGCTGTCATAATGAATGTATAATTTTGTATAAGCAGCCCGAAAAAATTTTTCTAAGTACGGTAGTTTACTATCAACACCAACAACATTTTGCCATTTGTAATTAGGATTGCTTCTAAGAATGGTAAAAACACACCTTGCTACACAATTCACGGTACGGTAGGGTCAAATTTTACTTGCTACATATGTTTTGGTGGTTCTTTAACTCCACGATCGTCAGCTTACAAAATTACCCACTTCTGGAGGTGTCGTCAGAGTATGTTACAAACATTTAACGCAAAACGTATACAGATAGGCCTATCAATTCACGCGTTATAATTTGCCGTCGGCAAGACTGGAAGTAAACTGAATCAGTCAGGTTAAAGTTATGTTGGACGACGTGGTCTCTGGATTGTCTTCTGCGTTTTCAACAGCTGATATTAGACTATTGTAAATATAAATAAGAGTGTTGTAAATATAACTGGATTCATAATTAATCGAGTGTTTTCATTCAAAATTTCTGTGCTGTCCCTAGTATTATGTACAGTATTTAAATATTTCAAACTCTTCCAAAGTATTTAATAAATTACCTTTCCCGCAGTAATGTAGAATTTCGAGAACATAAATTTTCTGTGGAAAACTCAATTATCTCCGTCACTACACTACAATTAGTCCAATATAAGCTGTGGATAACACGGACGACAATCCAGAGTCGGTTCGCCATAACCTGATTCAGTTTACCTCCAGTTCTGCCCGCAGCAATGAACACGCGTGAATTGATGGGCATATCTGTTATCGTTTAATGTTTTTTGTTTAATGTTTGTAACATATTCTGACGACACCTCCAAAAGTGGATCCTTTTGTAAGCCTGAGGATGGTGGAGTTAAAGAACCGCCAAAACACTACCATTAACGCAAAACACAAAACTGGGGCTATTAAAATGAATTATAAGATTACTTCGTCACAAAACCTCTTGTGGTGCTGGTGGCAATTAAGGTATTTTGGGTATTTAGCCCGGTCATTTTTGTAGAAGGCAGCCTGGGAGTGGCGAGCAACCCCTGCCTATATTTTAGAGCAAGTCTGCCCTATTTTAGTGACCTAATTTTGAAACAAGATACTTGTTGCCAAAGTATTGTTCGTGCACTTAAAGTTATTTGAACTCTTAAGCCCTGTAAAAATTTACACCACCTAATAAATTGAACAGTTACAGTACTGTGTTGGAGTAGAGTAATTTACTGAGTATATTGTTGAACTTTTTGAAGACGTTGCCTATTTTAATACTGAGCATGTGTTGGCTGAAAATACAGATTCTAATTGTAAATTGAAAAACTTAATTGGTCCATTAATTAGATTTATTAAGTTTTTATTGTTAAATGACGTTTCCTATTAACCCTTCCAGGGCTATAGACGGATATATCCGTCAATCTTTGTTTACTTTCCGGGCTAAAAACAAATATATCCATCCCGAGAAATTTCTTTTCTGGGATAATGACGGATGTATTCGTCCAAAAAACAAATTGATATACAATGTTTATAATATGGTTATAAACATTACACTGCATTATAAATGAGTTATTTGTTTTTGTGTTTGGCAATAATAATTGCCGCAGCTGTTTCAGCTATTTTGCACCATGTGCGTAGGTAAATATTGCTGTCACTTCACACATGGTTGTTAGTGAGTGATGTTTACATTTTGTGTTTTCTACTTTATTTTTATGTTATTGAGCTAAAGTTACTAATGCAAACTATATGAAATTTGTTATTGAGATGCTTAATAAAAGTATGTCTGAGGAGGGTTTTATACTTGGCAGTGAAAATAATAGTATGGAATGTGATGGATATGATAAACCTGAAGAACAGTATTTACATAGTGGAAGTCTTGGCGAGGAATGGGATTGAGGGCATGGGAGCGGAACTGAGTGGTTTAGATTTACTTCAGAATGATAGATACATTTTTATGGATAAAAATAAAACAAGGAAAGGAATAGCCTAAGGTTGACGGATATATCCGTCTGCCGCCCACAAGAATACTCAAGATTATTGGCAGTGTTCATATATTGTGATTATCACTGAGGGCGGCAGACGGATATATCCGTCCACCTTATGTTTTTTGTGGGCCAAAGACGGATATATCCGTCAAATAAAATTTTTTATTTTCTTCATAACTTTTTTGTACAAAAATTAGTTCAGCCCTAAGTAAAATCTTATGATCCATGAATTATTTCAAGTGAAATAAATACAAAACACAACCACATTAGTTTTTAATTTTTGTCAAAAAATAATTAAGCCCCAGCCCTTCATTTAATTTAGCCCTGGGAGGGTTAAACATTTAATTTTGCAAATTTGTTTTTCTTTACCTCAAGTTTACGAAATACTTTAAATGCTCGTTTTATGTGGTAAAGGGGAAATTGCAAGGTAAATTGGAGGGGGGAGGGTAGGTAGAAATAGAGGGCAGCATAAATTGGGGGGGGATTGCGCCACTGGGTTTGGGGGGGATGGGCACCTCTGCTTATATGGCATTTTATGTTTGTCTTATTCTGGACTAAAATTGAGTTAGCGTATCCACGGACATATATAAAAATTTGAACGAATCGTGTTTTTGGCCTTTAGAGACATCTAAATTAGGGTCTAAGTCTACCATGTCACCTACGGTAATAGCTTCTTATAGCGGAAAATAGGGTAAATTCACCAACATTTTCTAAAACAAACTACATTAAACCAACACATAAGTTTATTAACAGGGAGAAATTGAATATTAGGAATAGGAGTTTATGTGACAGAGGGATAGATAATTTAATCATTATTCTTCACTCAACCTATTTGAATAAGTTCATTGACTGCACAAGTTTTCAAAGACAATTTTGCAGTTTTGGCATTGGAAAAATTTCAACATTTGAAGAAACACTTTATTACAGGAATACTTTAACAGTATTTTGAAAGCAACTGTGGTATGAAATAAACTTATTGTAAATGGTCATTTATTGATAATTTATCAAGGAAAGCAAAAACAAGACTAGTGTCATTGCTAATGACTATCCGTTTTGTAGCCCTATTAGTTGTGATTGATGTTATCATCACTGACAAATGTGGAAGAAATTTCCACCACCATTAATGATATAATAATATTAACAATCATTATTGATTTAATGGTAGTGGCTTACTCACCAACTGGTGTAACCTATTTATGTTTGCTGTTTGAGAGTTGATAAAATTGTGAATCTTGGTGATGTCGGTTATGAAATATTTGTAGGAAATTCGTGTAGGCCCCTCATATCAAGCAGAGGTACCGGAGGGGCCGACCGCCACCAATTACGCTGATAAAGATTCAGAAGAATACGACGAGGAACTTCTGTGGAGACCTTCTCAAGAGCTTAGTGAACAGGATGTGGAGGCTTACTTGGGTCGGATCAATGAAATTGTACACCAAGCCATGAGTCAAAGAGTTAAGAACAGAGACAACAAAAAGGTGAGGTATCTACACAAGTATTTATTTAGATTAATGCATAAAGTGATCTTGTTAGGATGGTAATCAGCTGTGGAAGTTCTAAACAAATTAAAGACAAATTTATCAAACTTGTAATGGACCAACCTGCTTCTAAAGGGCTATTTTATGATACAATGTTGTCGTTTGTGGAACTTTTTGGGGGTAATAATTAAAATAACAACACCATTTGGGAGTGAAATAAAACCTGGCCAACTACATGAACTTAAAAACAAACCATTCCAAATCCAAAGTAGTCTCATTTCGTTTACGGCAACAGGAAGCAGATATTCAGCCTGTGGTTATGGCGGATAATGTACCATTGGAGGTTGAAAATTCCATAACATTTTTGGGGATGCACCTTGACAAAGGGCTAACCTGGGGAGATCAAGTTGATCACATTTGTGCCAAGGTTACATCTGGAATTTTCGTTTTACGTAACCTTGCAAAACTTTGCACAAATGAAGTGTTTTTAATGGCATATTTTGGTCTCATCTACCCTCACATTTCTTATGGAATAAGACTGCGGGGAAGCTGTGCTATCTTCAGGCTCAAACGAGTTTTCAAACTGCAGAAAAAGGCAGTGAGGATAATCTGCAAATTGCGGAGGAGAGACTCGTGTAAAAATGCTTTCAGGGTGTTGGGATTGCTCACTGTACCCTGTCTCTACATCTTGGATGTGGCCATGTACTGTAAGTATGAAAGCTCACTAGTGCAGGGCCGAGACGTCCATCATTATGAGACTAGGGGCAGGGACAATTACCGGACTCTGCAGCATAGAAGTGTGGCGTTCGAGTCTTTGCCATCGCAGTTTGGTATCACAATCCTCAACAAACTTCCTGCCATCATCAAACATGCCGAAATAAAAAACAATTCAAAACTCGGCTAAAACGCCTTTTGGTGTTCAATGTGCTGTACTCTGTTGACGATTTCGTGAACAACCGCTGGGATATCTAAATTCTAGGAAATGTCTCAAAAAAAATTCAGGCACTGATGTTAAAAAAACCCTTGATCAAATGTAAATAATAACTTGTATTGTTACATACGATATGACGTCACAGTCGCCTGATTGCAGTCAGGTCACAAATGCAAAACATATTGCCAACTCTTCATAACACAAATATAAATATTGTAAAAATGACAACATTATGGTAAATTGTTGTGTAAAACTGTAGTTTGTTGTCAAGGTTAAACTTGAAAAAAAAAACAATTCTCCATCTGTATATTTGTATATATGTTAAATTATTGTAACAAAAATCAACTTGTTAAAAATATGTCATTATTCATCAAACCTGGTTTGTTGTTGGAAAATGATAGTTAAATAAAAAATATTGCTAGTGTTTTTTATTTTAAAAAACAAGTATGGTAATACAGTTTATAACAAAAAAACAATTAAAGAACAAGTTCATGATTTTGTTGACCTTTGGATTACTAGATTAAAATTGGAAAAAAAAGTTTAGCTTACCTGTATCTATCAAAATGATCTTTTTGGCAGCTATGTTTTTTTTGTTCATTTTCAAGCATACAAAAACTTAACTAAAACTTAAAACATATTTTTTATGATAAATTAAATGAAAAATAACATGGAAATATTAACTATATCATGTTGTCAAGCCAGTAGTGTAGAACGTAATTCATTTTGACATTAGTAAGTTATGATTAAAAGTCACATGTTGTGGATAGTTCTTCCTACCGCTCTACATTTTACCAGGTTTTTCAGAGATTTTTTAGTAGTGAGATTGTGTAAAATGGTCAGATTGAAAGTAATTTTCAAAATCTTTTGGGGGAGAACCACCAAACCCCCCTCTTTGCCGAGGGGTATTCCACCCCCAAAAAAACCCAGCATCAGCCCCCCCCCCCCCTCAAAGTAGGCTCCTGGATCCGTCCCTGTATATCGTTCACATAGAGGAGGAACAAAATGGGTCCCAAATTTGAGCCCTGTGGTGCGTCTGTAATTGGTTCGGATTTTTTTACCTTTAAGAATTTGTACTATTGCTTTCATCTCTATGTTTTAATGTTACAATCTGATATCTGTCTTTTAGGTAGGACATGATCCAAATCAGGGCCTTATTTTTAGTTCCATAGGCAATAAATTTGTTTCTTAGAATTTTGTGGTTGAGGCAGTAAATAGCTTTATATTAGGCATATCATATAACAAACATAGTATTTCTTCACTTTTTGAGTTTATTGGCCTAGTCCAAAAAGGCTGAAAATTCCACCAATACCAATCAATCAAATTATCAAAATGTTAAGTCATTGTCTTTCTCAGCTAAATTAACTTTTGATAGACGGATAGAACTGAACAATGTGCACATTGTGGTATTTAAACACAAAAAGAGATTTGTGTTCATTAAATTTGACAAAATTACAAGTCATATGAAGAACCGTATGACCGCCTGTAAAACTTAGACTCTCATGGTATGATGTTTAAAAACTGTCCATAATTAATTTACTCATAAGCCTATGCAATAACCAATGTTTTTCTATTTCCAGGCTTTGGAGATTTTACTTCAGTGTAATTACAACCAAGAATTAGCACTTCAAAAATTCAAGGAAACTCTTGAAGAATACTTAAATGGGGAAAATATTGAAAATCACTTTAATAACAGCAAAGGAGATTCTACTAAAGAAGTTAAACGTACCAAGGAGTTAGATGGAAATGAAGAAAATAACTCAGTTGTCCCTAAGGTAAACCCAGTTTTGAATTATCGGTAATATAACATTTATGTACAGTATTTGCAACCAAAATACAGTAGGCCATAGGTCGCATAACTCAAAAGGTCAAATTTTCATCACGATTTTTATTTCCATCAAGTGTAGTTGTGATGACTATTTATATACAGGGTGACAAAAAAGTCTGGAAACGGCTTGATATCTTTTTAACTAAATTCGTTAGAAAAAACTTTTCACATCAACTTAAGCCCCCCATACACTATCGAACATGCCACCCGACCTGACAACTTGACCTGACGACGGACTCATCATCCAACCTGACTTATGTCGGGTGTTTCCCACACACTATCGAGCATGTTACCCAACAAGTCAGGTGAAATATTAGTTCTGAGATGGATTTTGAGACGACTGTTAGCTGTTTCAGGGGGATTTTTAGAGCCTATGGAACTAGGCTCTTAAATTTTCAATTTTATTTTTAACGAACTTTAAATCAAACTCTGGATACAGTTCCTTGCACTTTTCCATCAGGATATCGTGCCCCTATGTGCATGTTTGTTGCAATAGGGCTTACTTTTGACATCCAACAACGCCTTCTGGTCTCTGTAGAGTTAAATAAATTCTGACCAGAACTGTTTATTCATTTTTGTTTATTATTACAATTACACACGGTCCAACATGTCAGGCGGACGGCTCGAGTCTGGTGGTGGTATCGGACCGAGCATCCGACCTGACATATCCGTCGAGCATGTCGGGTTGGAACCCACACACTGTCCAATATGTTCGACAAGACGTCGGATCCCGACATGTCCGTCCAACATGTTGGATAGTGTATGGGGGGCTTTATATGTATGAAAACTACTTTTTGTAAGCATTACCATTTTTTTACCTTAACCAGGGGACGGCCCATGAGGAGTAGGTACATAATTTTTAATGTAAGCATAGGTTGATATGCACGTCATTTTAAAGGTCTGGTCAAGTGGAGTTCATTGCCGGAAACCGCGGCAAAAAAGGTTCATCCGTTACAAAATAACGGCAGTCCAAAGTTCTTGCGGAATATACCTGCAGAAGCCTTAGTATTGGAAAAAACTCATATTCAACATTAGCCGGGAAATCTGAAACCCGTTTCAATTTGTTTTGAAGATTGAATAATATTAGTCTATGAGCTAGTTGACTTTAAAATACAGTTTCAGCTCTCAAGCTAATGTTTAATACGAGTATTTACCAATAGTAAGGCCTGTGCAGGTACATATTCAACAAGAACTTTGGACAGCCGCCATTTTGTAACGGATGCACCTTTTTTGACGCGGTTTCCAGCAATGAACTCCACTTGACCAGACCTTTAAAATGATGTGCATATCAACCTATGCTTACATTAAAGATTATGTACCCTACTCCTCGTGGGTCGTCCCCTGGTAGAGGTAAAAAATGATAATTCTTGGAAAAAGTAGTTTTTATACATGTAAGTTGATGTGAAAGGTTTGAATTTTCTAATGGATTTAGTTAAAAAGATATTAAACCGTTTCCAGACTTTTTTGTCACCCTGTAGGCCTATATATACATATATATATATTTAGTTATTTTGAAACTGTTACTTCTCAAAACAATTTAGTTTAGAAACTTTGTTTTGCCTTAAGTTTTACAGATGTGCTGTGTCCAGTTTGCACTTGTGTTTTCAATGATATACAAAAAATTTTGTCTTGTTGTATTTTTTCAGCTTTTCAGTATGAAATGCAAAAAATCAATTTTTTCGAAAAGTGTGGTTTGTTGGCTGAGGTTGATTTCTCATTCATGTGTTTCCCTGTTTAGATTACAAAGAAATTAGATCGGAAAGCTATATGAAAAAATTGTTCATACAAATTTTATAATTTCATGACTGAAAATAATATAAAAAATACACCTTGTTCATGGAGAAGTGACCAAATGTAATGTGTTCTGTTATAGATGGCGAGAAAAGAAAATGCCAATCCAAGTGAATCATAATAGTTTTAAACATTAAAAATGGTAAACCTTGTGGTAATCATATAGAATATACTTGATACTGCCACAACCAGGTCATTAGAAAGTCAGGATAAACTAAAAATCTTGGAAATTCAACTGCTAAAACAGTAAGTCTTGGTCTGAAACAGAGCTATCTAATCCACTCTCTCTTTCTTGCGGAATTTTTAGCTTGCAATATGTATACAAAGTGTGTCGCTATACCCAATTGAAGTTATTAACTGGCATAAAATGTTAAGCAGATTTCTATTTTCCAGCAAATTTTTTTAAATGTAGGAAAAACAGCATTATGAAGTTTTAATACACACTCTGTATAACAACTGAAAAATCAATGTATAATTTGATGTTTGATGTTTCAGTCTATCATCATGAAACTCAGTGGTGGCGATAGCGGGCCCGCGGTGCGGGGGGGCCCGCGAGCTAGGGAGGCCCTTGCATGAGCCTTGACCGGGATTTTTCAGTAAATTTTACCGGGACACGGGCCCGCGATTGTGCGACAGGCTCAGCCACACGGGTCCCCTATTGTAACAATATTTAAGTATATGAGAATTACCATACGTTTTTTTATGACGAAATTTTGTTCAAACCACCAAGAGCATTAGGACAAGTAGCTTACAACTGCTAAACTGTCACTATTACTTGACTGATCGATATAAACTCTCTACCAACCTAAGTAAAAGAATTGTCAACAGTCGTGCGGATTGCATCAACTGTCGTCCTTGTGTTGCTTAGTCTATGTCTATGTCCTAGCCCCCGGCGGGTCACACCAGAGACGGCCCTCTATGCTAAATCAACCAAATGAACTTGAAAATTTTGTTAACTAGGGATGGACGAGATTGGATTTTTAGTTCGAGACGAGACGAGATTTTTTATTTCTCATAAAATTTCGAGACGGGATTTCCCTTCTCATACACAACGGGAAATGCACGTTCAAAATGTTTACCTGATTTTGTAACATTGTTAGATGACTGTTTAAATACAAAAATAATGATAATAGGCAAGAATATTTACAATCTTTTATTAAAAAACATCAGCATAACATTTTTTTAATATCACGCCTAACTTATTAAAAATGCCTACGATTAGGAAACATAGTGATATCATTTAGGATAGAGTTCAACTTATCCTAAAATAAAATAAATCATAAAATAAAAGCAATATTTTATAAAATAGTTAGGTACTTGTTTTGACTTTTTATAGTAATAAAACATTCCTCACACTGCTTACACTTAACAAAACTTCTAAAATGTTATTAAAGTAATATTATTAAAATAATTAAAGTAATATTTACATTTAAAGAATTAATTAATAAGAATGCCTTCGCAAAGGAAACGCAACTACAACACGCTCCTGTATTGCGGGTATTGCATTGACTTTCTGCAGGCGTTTTTAATTTTTTTTTTTTTTTTTTTTTTATTCTCGTCTCGATAAAAATCTCGGCCAAAAAAAAATCTCGTCTCGTGTAACGAGATTTAAAATTTCCTGAAATTTTGAGACTTGACCATCCCTATTTTTAACGATCAAATCGGCAAATTAACCTAGGTCGCTAGGGCACTAGCTAATAAATAATTATATTCTTCCATTGATGCTTAAGAAGGATTTTCATTTAATTTAATTTCTTACTATTAGGAGGCTGTCCTTTAGATTTGTTTACTTCGCACTTTAGATTTGTTTACTTCGAGTCAGGTAAAAAAATGTTACTTACCTATAAGCCTTAGGCCAAATCAGATCGGTTCAAAATCAGTTTGTTTTGAAATGGTTGATTTGTTATAATATAATGTCGATTTTCCAGCCGAGCAGAGCCTGACCTTCAAGCTTGGGAGATCAAGCACAAACTCAGAAAATCAAGCTCGAACCGATTTTCCGGCGATTTTCTCAGTAGGCCTACTCAATACAATAATGCTCAATTATAAAAGTAAAAGCTTTTATGTCCGCAAGGATCACTCACGCTCATGAAAGTGAAAGATTAGGCCAACGCTTTTGCCGCGATCGCGGATATCGACGAGAACATTTCCCCGCGGGTGACGATGACGATGTCTCCGCGACCGCAGGAGATGTTCAATATTTTACCGCGATTGTGGAAGACGATAATGACGTTTCATTTTCAGCGAGAGATATATCTAGGATTCTGCCACGATTGCGGGAAAAATGATTTCCCCGTCAACACCGACGGGTCGCAGGAGATATTAGGCCGTGATATTAGATTGGGCCGTGAACGCGGGAGACGATGATATTGCTATCTGGTGATGTCATAGGTTTGGTTACATTTGCAATCACTGTAGACTATGATAATGTTTCTCCCATGACTATGGAAAGTATTCACGATTTTGACGCGATCATGGAAGACGAAGATGACGCCTCGGGAGATGCCTTGTCAAATTTATTGCAAAAATGCAAGTATAGGCGGTAATACATGTAAACATGTTTTTAAAGATTATTGGGAGAGGGGTCCCGGCAAACAAACTTGCGGGGGGCCCGCGGGCTCTTATCGCCGCCACTGATGAAACTGAGTTATTATCAACTATGTGTTATATTGAGATAAATGGTAACTGTTGATAAATATTTTGCTGATGTTTATTGGAAGCTTTATTGAGTGTTATAAATTATATGTTTCCTTATATTCAAACATACAAATTATATATTAATGGAAGAAATAAAAATTAATTGTATTTTTTAATGTTCTCATATGTTTATTGATGTTTGTATGTTTACCTTAATGCAAATTGAGTGTAAGCAAAACCTGTTCAGAGAGTAGCATCTATTGTTGAAAAGACTGTGTTTTTTTCATACTCGGCGTTGATCTTAGTGTAAGCTTTATTTTATAGTGTACTTGTTCATAAAGCTTGTATTAAAATGAACTCACTGGAATCATTCCTAGTGAGCAGGTTTGCTGTCATGTTGTGTTTTTGTGACTTAATGTATTTAAGGCAAGACATTTTATGATTTAAGTATAAAAGTTACACGTTTTACCAATCAAAACGTCCATTCTTTGTGTTTTTTTTTATTTAAAGTATCAGTTACCCCTTTTACCACGTGTTATTGTTAGTGTCTTTAGTAATAAAATGTCTTGTCTTTAATATTTGAGAATATTATAGGCCTTTTGGTAAGTTAGCATTGTTAAAACTTGGTTCAAATAGTTGAACAAAATCTGATTTACACTTAATTAATATTGAAAAAGCTCTCCAGTTATTAAGGAATGAAGTGTGACATTAAGTTAGGGAGGAATAAAAATTAAGAGACCTTTGTAATGATGGGAGTCAAAAAAAGAGCCTTTGTATTTACTACTGATCTGTGCACTCAGCAACATGCCTTAGATCCTTAGACAGTTCCCTTACAAGACACGTTAAAAATGCCAAAGGCACACAAAATTAAATTCAAAATAAAAATATTGAAATAATGCAGCATATCAGGTTCTATTTGATTACATGGGTGAAATTGAACAGAAACACTTTTCTAATAATAATAAGGTTATACAATTCTGATTTTGTGAGATGCCTCAATCATCTCAATATTATTAGAACAGAATAGTTCCTTTGCTGCGTAACTAATACTGTATTAAACACGAGAATAAATTACTGTCCAGCCGCCTCCGTGCTGTTTTGTTACACAAATATGAAATAACTCAAATGTTTGCTCACAGTTGCAGCTTTATTCACAGTCAAAACAATTCAAGTCAAAAATTACTTAGTAAACTGGTAAACCATGCTAAAATTGTTTAACTCAAGCAGATTACATGTACAGAAAAAAAAAAATCTACATCTGATCGAGCCAGGCCCCCGCTAGAGTCCTGGGCTCTGGCCCCCCTGCCCCCACCCTCTAGCCTGCCCTGCTTTTGAGGACTTACTCTTTCCATATTGTTTTAATCCTCAAGATTAGCTTTAAACATTGGTGAAAGTTATATTAATATAGACTGCTGCTCTAAAATCCTATTTCCAAAAACAGGTTATATGAGTAAAAAATACTAAAGCATAAAGAGCATAATACAAATGGTAAAAGTGCTACTTTGTGATCACACTGTTTTGCTAACACTTATTCACATCATTTTATCTGTTAACAACGTGTACGTGTATAATGTTTGTAAGCTGTACTTATGGTTTTAGGACCACCATTTTTTAGACTGGGTGATATTTTTCAGATTTGGAAATGAATTTGTTTATAAAATCAATGATATATTTATGGTTTTAGGAAAAAATGTATTACTATTTATAGATAATAGGACATCTATTTTATAGTACTCTGTGTTATAAATGTCATAACTGTGTTCATGTTTCGTAAGGGTATAAATTTACAGCCCAGATGTAATTGGTGACAGAAATTCTTGGAAATGGTGAGTTTGGTTTAAGATATCAATGTTCTTTTATTTGAAACCAAACTTACCCCTAGGGATACACAATTTTGTGTCAAACTCTATAATGCTTCATAATGTGCAGATATATATATACAAACACAGTGCTCTATTTGTAAAAATTAGGTGCTGGAACTTGAACCTATTTATATACCTATATGTGCCAACATTTTTATCATTCCAAAAGAGAGGTACCGAAACTCCGTTCCGCCGCAAATCTACATTTTTTACATCATATAAGTACTGACTGTATTGAGACCCCCCCCCCCCCTTAAGAAAATATTCACTGGTTAAGACAAATAATTTAAATAACATTGCAATATTGCAACATTGATATTGCAATGAATGAAGCCAACCAAATTAAGACAATCGTTTTCAAATAATAAAATTGGTAAATTATTTTAGTGTGTGTATTATATTTTGTTACTTGAATGTTAACTATTTTTTAATAAACATTTGTAATAAACAATGGTTGTAAATATATACTCTCCTGAAATCCCTGCCAGTAATACCCCTTTATAACAAACATGCAGACCAAGCAGATATCACATCGCACTGGGACAGTTGTGAGGACTGTACAGATTCCGTTAACTCTTCCAGAGGCTGCCAAATTAATGTTGGTTCAGTCTTTGGTGTTGAGTCCTGTATACTGCTTTCCTGCATACAGCAACAGCATTATGCAGGAGCAGATGGAACAACTTTTAAAGGCAGGAAAAAAGCGCAGTTTGTTTTGTCAATGGAATCCATACGCGGGAAGTTGGAACGCATCTCCTCTTTTCAGGATTCTGCTGGACTTTTACCAGCCGAGGCTGTATGCAGAGTCAAAACATGCTGTCTCATCCATTGGGTGCTATCTCACAAAGAACCAAAACACCTCATGGAGAGGCTTGTGATGAAACTGCTCCACGAGGCACTAGGCAGGACCTCTTATATCTTACATAATATCACATTTAAAGCACTTTTCATTGGGATTCAATTTCACTTTATTTACATATACAATAGCTTTTGACAGTATCTCACACACAATACTGGTAGTGTGAACTTAAAAGTCTTGGTTTAAAAAAGTATCTTTAGAGTTTTTATCTTGTATTATTAATTCAGTATATTTAAATTACATCCTCTAAAGATGATAGAATTACCATAAATAAATATTCCACATCAGCTCTTACCACTGATTATGGTGTTCCTCAAGGATGCATTCTTGGACCTTTATTATTTCTTTGCTACAACGGTATCCCCTCAGTCATAAATAATAATAATTGTATCAGCAGTTAACTTGTAGTATATGCAGATTACTCTAATTTAATAACATCGTCAAAAAATTATCATTAGCTTGAATTGGCTTGTACACAGCAACTAAAAAGTATCTAGTCTTATTTAAGGAGGAATAGTCTATTTTTTTAGTTCCAATAAAACTAATCTTATGTTTTTCAACAGTTCAAAACAAATAAATACATAATACAGCTATAACTATAGAACAGAATTAAGTTAGTGAAATTTGTACAACAAAATCCGGTACTTTGGTATTATCCGGAGGCCCCTTGTACAGTGTGCTGCGGCTATGTTAAGTTGGGTTATCATAAATATTTTTGTAGGACTTTCCTCATTTCGTTATGAATCAAACTATACAATAAACTGTTGACTAAATTACTGTTAAACTAATTACTGTTGAAATTAGTTGTTAAAGCATAGTGCCTTTTGAATATAAGTTTTATGTCACTATTCTTGTATGTATGTTCAAAATTAATAAAGAGATTTTGATTTGATTAGACCAGCTCGCTCACTCCCT